CATAAATGCATACATATGTGCGCACACACACACATATATACACACATACACACACACAGTATACATAGCAGGTATTCTGTAAAAAATGTTTTTGATCAGTGTGTGCTACCTGCTCTAACATATGCTGGTGAAATATGGACACTAACCTCACAATAGATACAAAACCTAAGAATGGCGCAAAGAGCCATGGAAAGATACACGCTCGGCATTACAAGACAAGATAAAAAGACCTGCTACTGGATTAGAGAACAAACCAAAGTACATGGTATCATCACGAGAGTCAAAGAATTGAAATGGAAACGGGCTGGTCACATAGCAAGTAGCACCTGATGGCAGGTGGACCAAGGCAGTCATAGAATGGCTCTCACTTGATAAAAAACTTCCATGAAAGAGATATCTAAAAAAAAAAAAGATGGATTAACGACATCAGCAAAAGAAAACTCAGGACTGTTTTGGTTGGAAACATGCAGAAGAGACCTTCATCCTGTAGTGGATAGACCATGGCTAAAATGATGATGATGATTCTGTAGAATGAGTTCCGTCATTTCATATGAATCCATATCTATCCAATCTGAATATGGATTAAAACTCTGGCAGGACAGGAGTGCTGTTTGTTTATTTATTATCTATTAATCACATTTTATGGCTGCCCATCACAGAAGTGATTCTGGGCGGTACTCAGTAATCAATAAAACAACAAATATAAAAAACAATAATTATAAATATATAAAAAGTTATATTAAAAATGAATGACGCTATAAAATTTACAGTCACACACAGAGAGGAAAAAGATCAACCCCAATGGAACCGTCTAAGAATGTCTACTGTTCCTTGGGAACCCCAGGCCTGATGACATACAGTAACGAGGTCTTGAAGGACTTCTGAAATGATAACAGGGATGGAGATAACCTGATTTGTGTGTGTGTGTGTGAGAGAGAGGGGGGGGGAGGGAGAAAATGTTCCATAGGGTGGGCAACATGGCAGAGAAAGATGCATACATCTGGATGTTTATATGTATCAATTTCTTTAGGATGTTTATCTACATACCTACATTTATCTGTAAACATCTATATTTTCCAGAATGATTTCCTATACTGTTAACTCTAGAGTCGACTGTGCTACTCCTGAAGCAGCAGGAGTTGGGAATTGAGAGTTTCTGGACTTGCAGCTCTTGCTTGAATAGCAGATGGAAGCCATGGCCAGTGAAACCCTAGCTCTACTTTGATTGGTGTACCAGTTATGGTACTATCTGGACCAGGTGGCCTTGATGATACTCACTCATTTATTGTTATTACAACCTACTGCCCTCTATAAAGGGTTGCCTTTGAGACAGATAACTCAGAGATACAATTGGTACAGAATGCAGTAACCCAACTGCTAGTAGGTAAAAGTCATTATTGTAACGTAATACCAATTTTTCATTTTTTAAAGAACAGAACAGAATAGCAATAGGATACTTTATTGGCCAAGTGTGATTGGACACACAAAGAATATGACTCTGGTGCATAAGCTCTTGGTGTACATTCAAAGCAACAGAGTAATAATAATCAAAATAATGATACCAATAAGATGAGGTAAAGATGAGAATAATAATAATAATAATAATAATAATAATAATAATAATAATAATAATAATAATTAGTCAATTGCAAAAGGCGGCCTTATTAGGAACTGCTTCCATCCTGCGACGATATCTGTAATACCATCAAACATCCACATCTGCCTATCCCAGGTCCTGGGTAAGGACTCGATAGGTAGACAAAATGCCAAATCCAGTCTGAACATCTGGCTGACTGTGCGATGATCCATAATAATAATAATAATGACTCGATAGGTAGACAAAATGCCAAATCCAGTCTGAACATCTGGCTGACTGTGCGATGATCCATAATAATAATAATAATAATACAGCCATTTAACCTGGGTCAATATAGTTATTATTAGTATATATTATTATATACTAATGATTAAGTATTCAGTAGAGTGATGGCAAGAGGGGAAAAAACCTGTCCCTATGTCTAATTGTTTTGGCCTGGAATGCCCTGTAGTGGTGTCTTGAGGGGAAGAGTTGACAGTGACAGGGTGACTCTCTCCCAATGTCAAAAAGCCGGCTAAGTAGCAGTCATTGTTTTGGGCTGGACGTTTCAGCGGGAAGAGCCTTCGTGGCGATGGCTGTTGGGAGAGGGTCGCCCTGTCATTGTCCCTGTTGGTTCCTCTCCCCACACAGGAGCTTTCAGGGTCCAGTGCAGAATGTCTAAGGAAAGGTCCTTCTCCCCAAACTCAGGCATGATTGGCAGCTTGCCAGCTCGGAGGCAAATAAAAGTCCCCAGGCTCGGAATGGTGTCTGTGTGTTTTCTGTATGTGTGGAACAATGACTCCCACTTAGCCTGCCTTTCACAGGGATGGGGAGGCGCTGGAAAGCAAGGTGAGGAAGCCTTTGGAGAAAGAGTGTGGGCTAATGGGAACTTTTGCCTCCCTTAAGCCGGGCCAGTTTTGGAAACCAAAGCAGAAGGCCCAGGCTCATGGCGAGTTGTCCCCATGGCGAGTTGGCTGGGGGGAGCGAGGTGTCCCACGGTGAGGTAGCTGTGGTGAGTTGGCCGCAGAGAGTTGTTCCATTCTACTGAGAGAACTCATGTACATTTGCAAGAGTCGATTGTCTTCACATGTCACCTTTAGGGTGATATGATCTTTGGCTTCTTTAAGTAAATCTACATCTTATGTTTCCACAACCCATCAAACTACCAAATAACCTTAGGGCTAAGGGTTCACCTAAAATGCGAAGGTAAAATGTGACTGGCTAAGTTGTGTCTCAGTGTGTTCAGCGAACCCTCTCAAGTCCTTCAAAAAAAGGTGACAGGAATTGCAATATTGATACATTTATGGAGCTCATGAATGTCAATAAATGAGTTTATGCAGCAGCTTACCTCTTTCTTAGATCTCTATTCAAAATGCAAAACTGAATGTGTTCTTTTACATTCAGAGCATGGGCCTTTCCATTTGTCTGGCAAAAGTCCCACCTGCTCAGAGGTTTGACACCATCTTGGATCAGGTTTCTCTGGATTACCCTGTCCATCTTCGGAACTGATTCCAACCCACTGTCTTAAGTACAGGTAGTCCTCCACTTATGACACAATTGAGCCCAAAATTTCTTTTGCTAAGCAGGACAGGTGGTAAAATGGAGCTAAACTCATTTAACAAATGCCGCACTTAACAACAGAAATTTTGGACTCAGTTGTGATCATAAGTCAAGGACTGCCTGTAATGGTCTTCCTCGTCCTTCCTTTAAATGCCTGGGAGTGAGTCTGAGAGCCGTGTCCTCACCTAATGGTGAGATAAAGCTCTTCCCCTTAAGTAAAACCAGGATTATCTTTCAATGAGAAAGCTGATCACAGCAAATAATATAAATTATCTACACAGATAGGCAGGAAAGTGCAACAGGAAGACCTAAAGATGCATAAATTTGCTTCAGCTACTCTTAATTTCTAATGGAACAGTGAACCAATTCATAAACAGCTGAGGGAATACTGAGATTAGACTCAACAAAATCTCTGTGAATTCCTCTTTATTAAGCTTTTCAGATAAATGAATGCCTAAGGCAGGGGCAGTGGGGGGGCAGACTAATGGGTCAACCTTATACAGTGCCCATAGAACTTCATTTGGGAGTGTTTGTGAATTTCTTTTTCTTTTTGTGTCTTTATTTTAGAAGAGTACTAAATTTGGGCAACATTGGGGTTTAATTGGTGTTATATATTTTTTTAAAAAAATTAAAAATATCCCAAATCTGTGAGACCACAACACCTCTCAAGATTTTGGATCTCTCATAGAAGCTCTTATAGATTGTCAGTTATTTTTCATTTTTGATTTTTTTTTATTTCTACAGGTGTCCTCGACTTAAAACAGTTCATTTAGTGGCCATTCAAAGTTACAATGGCACTGAATAAGGTGACACGGCCATTTTTCACAGTTACAACCATTGCAGCATCCCCATGGCCATGTGATCAAAATTTGGACACTTAGCAACTGATACAGCAAATGACCATTGCTGTATCCCAAAATCATGGGATCGCCTTTTTGCAATCTTCTGACAAACAAAGCCAATGGGGATGCTGGATAACCTTAGTAACAATTGGGTTACTAACTGAACAACTTCAGTGATCCACTTAACAAGAAATGTCATACAATGAGGCAAAACTCACTTAACAAATGTCTCACTTAACAATAGAAAATTTGGGCTCAGTTGTGTTCGTAAGTCAAGGACTACCTGTATTATGTTTATTTGAGTGGAATGGTAGCATAATGGTACCCATTGAAAAGGTATTGATCCCTGTGTTAAGTGGAAAACAATTCTATAACAGTGTGAAAGGCAAATATTGATAACATGGCACTCTGCAAGTTGATGCACTGGCAAATTCAGTGTAGGTTTTCTTTCCCAGAGGAAAGATATCTAAATCACAATTTGAAGGGCAGTGTGCTAGTTGTGGAGTGGTTATTCAATTCTTTTAGCAACTTCAGGTTCCATTTTGGCTTTTTTCCAAAGAGGGCTCTCCCTGTCCCCTTCTATGGAGCACAAGAAAAGAAATAGTCCAGTGCAACTTTTGCCTCATACACCATATGGACACAGCTGACTTCCTGGTTTTGTCTTTTCAGCTTATATTTTCATTTCATTATACTTTAAGAAAAAAAATTAAACACCTATATGTGGATTCTGAAGCAATTTAGGTAAAGACTTGTTTCTTCTGATTCAAAAACAATTATTTTTTATTTCACAATTTTTGTGTTCTAATCCAACCATTAATCTCTGGGTAGTGCCCAGTAAACAAAAGCAGGAAAAGAAATGGGAAAAATGCTTTCTAAGATAATTTTTAACAGAATAAACAACAGTTGCTCAACATTCATATTATGGGCCAAAGAATTATTCTTAAACTATGAGGGTTAAATGGACTGTATGGTTTCGGGAACAGAAATGAAACAGAACAATTTATTAATTTATACCAATCCAATTGTTTATTCATTCATAACACAGTATTCAAACGATCAAAATTATTTCTATAATTATGACAAAACAATGCCTATAAAGGTGGATACTGCCAGATGGAGAGACAGAAAGACTGATCATATTATTGGTGCAAGGAGGTGAACAACTCAGTTATAATAGCAAAGATAGGACTGTGGAACAGATCACAAACTGCTCATATACAAATTAAAGTCAATTCATTTCCAGGATACAATCTTCAGCACATGACTCTTATGTTCAAGGAGAAGCCCTGAATCTCATTGATAGGGAGCCAGAGTAACTGAGGAATGAAATCAAATAAGTTTGTAAGGATGGATACGAAAACAGGAGGAGTAGGACAAAGATGAAAATGTAGTGTGTGGAGACAAGATGTGTATTACAACACTCATTGTAAGCTTTCTTTAAAATCAAATGTTTACTTAACCAGACACTGATTTAAATTCTTTTCTGGCTTTGTAAAATAACATACTGAACTGTAAATGAATAGGCTGGGTTCATACAGTAAGAAATACACACACACACACACACACACATAACCCCTTAGATTAACATTAGAGAAGCTTAGCATGTTATGCAGGCTAATCTTTAGCCTGACATGGTCAAGTATGCTGTATGAATACAGCAATAGTAAGAATGTTGGGATGCCACAACCAAGTAATTTCTAAGAGCCAAAGGTCTGTCCATATATAAGGGGTATGACAAAAGACTAGAGCTGTGTGAAATTGTGACATGATCCTTACCTGTGGCAGTTGCAGTCCAGACTTAGATAATGTCATCCACAAATTCACACAACAGATCTGTCAGTGACAAACTTTCATTGTAAAGTGCATTATTTATATACATGGTTTTAAATACATTTTGTTCATTTTTATCAGATAACAGGGAATTTGCTTCTGATCTTTTTCTGGATTTGAGGGCTCCTGCAGCATACAAACTTTTTTCTGGAGCATGAAACTAGAAATGGCTGTGATGTGGAGGAATTGGCCAGACCATTATATGAGATAATTTAAAACTATTTAGTGGCTAGAAAACATTGTCTGAGCCATTCTGTGTTTTAACAAAGTCATACATTACTGGAATCTACAAACCACAATGGTTAAGATCATACAATAAACTAAACCATGTGGAAAGAAGCATTGGCTTAGTGCAATGTGTCCACAAAACAATTGAGAAGCAGATGGAGCACAGGAGAGTGCAAAGGGAAAGATGGATCGGCTGAAATAAATTTCAGAATATGGATGGATGAGTAACTTCTCTTGGCGTGTATGACAGCCCATACTTCCATCCTTACGTATAACATCGTCTTTGGGGGAAATATAGTACTCCTCTATTACAAAGGCATCAACTGATCAGAACCCTGAAGTTTCACTTCTGCAATTCCATTTCCTGAGGTCATGTTAAGTTTCATTCATTAATAAAAGCTTCCCAGTTTCTCTCAGGAAAAAAGCTTACCAGACCTTTATTAGGACAATCCAACGTGCTGGAATTCCTGAAATTGAATCTCCATTTGCACAAAAATTGATTTACATAAGACTTCCCGTTTCCAATCAGGCCGGAAATGACAGAGGAGCTTTGCAGTTTAGCACTTCTGCTTCCCAATAACAAAAAGGAAAGAGAGGTCCTTTGTGCTCTCTGGGCTTGCTTGTTTTCTTGCAGACGTTTCATTACTCAAACTAGGCAACCAAACTAGACAAAAAAAGAAAGAAAAGGGGTCAAAAGAAGTAAAGGACAAGGAAAAGATGGACTGAATGTGAGAAAGGACTCTCGATGTAAATTGTGTATTTTCACACTTTCATTCTTCAGCAAACTCTCTGGATCTCAATGCACCGATTATTCAAATTCTAAATTTGATTTGCTTGTGTATGAAAACCAAGGGATGTATTTTAGCCACCTAAATACAAATCCTACTAACTTGGGAATACATGGGATGGAATCACTTCCAGAACTCTGAGGAATGTGTAATTTGCAGCAGGTGGTTTGTTACAGATTTCAGGGGAAGAAAGCTGAAGACAAGATCCTGAATTTAAAAAAAGGTAATTTGTCAGTGTCGGCTCTTTCCCCGTGGGCTTCGTTGTTTTGTGCTCTACTTGCATATATGGCAGCTTGGTTTTAGGATAAAAGTAAAGCTAGCACTAAAATGTAGATCTTGGGAATGAGAGCATGATCTTCTGGAAAAAAAATTTCAAAATGTGTACATTAACAGCACAACTACAGAGTGCCCGATCCTACATAAACTGAAACAATCCATGTATCCCAATTCCATTGTCATAGTATCTTTTGCTTTATAAGAAAAAGAGTGGAGAAGATCCATTTTTCTGTGTCCCATTCTCTCCAATTATTACTTAATTAGATACAAGCAGAATTAAAAGAAAAAAAAATTAAAACACACATCACCCTAGCCTGGTGTTATGCACTGTCACCAGCTGAATTAACAATTGGAAGGTCAACATTTGCAAAAGTAAGGACAAAGCTTACAAGCTTTTGGATCCAGCTAGCAACAATGTGCACCTCAGGATAACTTTAAACAATTGCAATTAACAGGCTAAGACAAAGGATTAAAATTAAAAAATGAATCATGTGGCGCTTGCAGCTTGCTTGTAGAACAGCAGTAAGCCAATTTAATCCATTTTAATTCAGAGAAGGAGCAAAAACAAAAAACAAAAAAACCAACCCAACATCTCCTGGTGCAAATGAAATAGATTTGGGGAGGAGGGGGTCGAGTTCAGCTCCTGAGAAAGTGCGATACACTCACCTGTGACAATTTTTTTCGGGAATAATAAAGTAAGGGAAGTCTCTTAAGAACTCTGAGTGACTTCGCAAGGTCCCGAGAGATCAGGTGTCAGAGTTGTCTATCAGATGCCTGAAAAGAAAAAAAAGGAAGCATTAATGCACTGCTATTGTGAGACAGTTGTCATTGACTGATCAGGCTTTTTAAGCAAGCTTTCACAGTCAATGAAACCACCTGAATAGATGAAAGCCAGACAGCTCCTGACAAACAAGGGACTGTGGAATATTCATTGTGCATCTGTGAGGGAAAGATTAATGTATTAGAAATTAAAATGGGACCAGGACGTATGATCTTGCTCTAACACTTGGCCAGACCTGTGTCACCCATTGCTAGTGCCTGAAGTCGACAGACAATTCTGCCAGGGTAGCTGAGAATCATTAAGCGTCCTGCTATTGTGTGTGGTGAATAATAAAACTTTCCCCCATTCTTCGCCTGGAACCGACAATGAATAATTCGGGAGCTATTTGCAATGTTAACAGCACCTATCTTGCCCATCCATTCCTTTACGATAAGGAAATATGCATTTCAACAGTCTGTACAGATACTGATTCACAGGCATTTCAAAGGACACCTGTCACTCAAGTGAAGGACCTGTCAGTCTCCCCTGTGTGAGGGTGCCAAGAATATAGCCAAAAAAGATTATCTAGACTTTATTTCTTTTCCCTCCCACCCAACTCCGATTATAACATTGTTACATTTACCATCGACTGACAAGCGATATACATTCACAGTCATTAGGTATTTAAAACTGAAAAGGGAGGAGGGAGGAGAAGAAGGAGTCCTCTTCTTAGCCTGCTCAATCCCAGGGGTCTACAAGTACCAAACATACCATCAGAAAAGGGATCACGTCCATACTGGGTGTCATTTTACCATACATCAAGATCATTTAATCCATGGGTGAACACCAAAGGTGACAGTAGCCAAGCTGTATAATTCTGGAGGTCCGAACCTTAAAGGACTAAGGGGAAGGAAGAGGCAGTTCAAGAGGATGGCTCTTAAACTTCATTGACCTTGGCAAAGAGAATCAATGGAGTAGGAGGATGAGAGGAGATGAGAGAAAGAACAGCATCTATCAGGGAATCCTCTTTGCTATTATTGTCTTTCAACTAGAAGTTAGGGAAGATAACCCTCCAGATTTTGGAGCTAAAATTACCATAAGCTGCAGGTATCACAGCGAACAGTCTGTAATTCTGAGAGTTATAGTGCAAAATCTTTGGAAGGTATCATTTCTTTTTTCAGCACTTTGCCCAATTTAAACATTCAGACGGGCACAAACTTTTTACCCAAAGCCACATCTCAAAGGGGACATACATGCATATAGACAGACATATGATAGATAGATGATACATAGATGATAGATAGACTGACAGACAGACAGTTTCAACTCTATAATTCTCTTTCTCTTGTATGATATTACTAAGTTATTTCATTAACAGTAATATTTATTTCTTTTATGGTAAAGCCTACTGTAGGGCATATAGTACATTCTGATAGTCTGTCACTGAAGCCCTGAATAGATATCTCCCTACTTCTCTTCATCAAATTTGTTAGTTCTCAGTTTGATGACTTCCAGATAATTTAAAATTTGGTTTCCATAAATCTTCTGTCTCCCAACCCAGCTGGCTAGGAATCACAGGTACTAAAGCCTAGCACTGCCTGGAAACATCTAGTTAGAGGAGGCTGAAGTGTTATCATGTTCCCACTACAGGGCTGCTATATCTTGATTTTGTCATCTAATGTCACCCCCCTTGTTCTGGGAGGGGGATATTATCGGTATTATAACTTGTCCTATGTTAAACATGTTCTCTGTAGTAGATGGCACCATCAAGCTGAGCTTAAAAATGAAGCAGGTTCAATCCTGGTTACTATTTGTAATGTCAGATAAAGTGGTTCTAGTTTCTGTACTGTCGCCAATATAATTCAGGGCTCTAGTTTCTATATTGTTGTGAATAAGATTATGGAAACATGTACAAAGAATCAGCAGCAGTCAGATTCAATTTAAGGTAGTTGTTATTGTCATCTTGTTAAGCATGCTATTGGTAATAATCTGCAATGGAAATTAGTATGATTATAATTCAAAGGTATTTCTATTTCATGGGGATTGATTAGCTATCTTATGCCAAGACATAAATAAATATTATTTGCGTGTAATCCACTGTGATGTTGCAGTGTTAGAAGTTTATTTTGGTATTACGGTATTAAAAATGAATGGGAAGTATTACTTCTTCACTATTGCTACTATTACTAGTAGTTGATTATTACTATCCAGAGAGTATTATAAAATCAGTAAAGTCTTGTGCAGATGTATGTAATAGCATAATAATCCCTGTTCAATGAATCTATTAACTTTATCACACATGGCAAAATTGCCTGCATGATCCTCTTTAGTCAATGGGGTTTCTAGAAATATATATATATATAAGATCACCAATTTAATTGTTAAACAAAAGAAAGGGGTGAGACAATGGCTAAAGAGAAAGGAGGAACATTTTCCCCAAATGACAGCAAAATTCAAAACAAAATGTTGATGGTGAATTACTAAAACACACAATGGCCACTTTAAAGGAAACTTGATCTGTGGATGGGTGAAATGCTAGAGCTTTTTAACTCTTCACTGTAACTAAAAGTTGTTACAGAAAATGAACAATTTCCTCCGAAGACAACCAAAATGTAGTCTAAAGTGCACATACAAATCACAACTTATAAAAAAGAGATGAAAATATTGGATTTTCAAGTAGAATTTAATGATCATTTAAAAATTAAAAAAACAAACAAAAAAGCATATAAATAGTGTACCCAAAGAGTGGTGTGGACTATTTTTTTAAACTGAAATATAAGAGACTTACTGAAGTAACCTCACGGAAACTACAAATGGATAAATATGATAATATTTCAAGAGAAGATGCAAAGAGGCTAGAGGAAAATGGATGTTAGATTTTTATCTATGGGACTTTAGGATGGCTGGGAAGAAAAAGGAAAAAAATGGTTCATTTGATTGTGATTAAATAATGAGTTACTATTTTTGGTGATGTTTAATGGTTATCTGGATTGGATAGTTTTTCTTTAGGAAATGTTTAATGATGTAATGAATTAGTTTTAATATTGACATTACCACTTTTGCATATATAAATAAGCAGTTGCTATTTATGGTAATGTTTAATAGCTTTCTTATTGTTTTGTAATGTTTAGTTGTTGAGATGGATAAGAATGATTTGGAATAAATGGAAAGGGGGATTATATACTAATGTCATTAGGAATTTTTGTTAATTTTTACTGGACTTTTGTTGATCAATAGATTTACAGATGAGTTTATACAAAATAGTGAGGTATGAAATGAAGATGTATCTGGTTGTAATACCTTAAGACGCAGTGATAAATTGTTAATACTGAATATGCTTGCTGGGGATAATAATGATGATGATGATGATGATGATGATGATGATAATAATAATAATAATAAAGTTGGAAGAGACCTTGGAGGTAATCTAATCCAACCCCCTGCTCAGGCAGGAAACCCTATACCATTTCGGACAAATGGCTGTCCGGTCTCTTCTTAAAAACTTCCAGTGTTGGAGCATTCACCGCTTCTGGAGGCAGATTGTTCCACTGGTTAATTGTTCTAACTGTCAGGAGTTTTTCCTCAGTTCAAGGTTGCTTCTCTCCTTCATTAGTTTCCATCCATTGCTTCTTGTCCTGCCTTCAGGCACTTTGGAGAATAGCTTGACTCCCTCTTATTTGTGGCAGCCCCTGAGATATTGGAACACTGCTATCATGTCCCCCCTCGTCCTTCTCTTTGCTAAACTAGACATACCCAATTCCAGCAACTGTTCCTTATATGTTTTAGCCTCCACTCCCCTAATCATCTTTGTTGCTCTTCTCTGTACTTTTTCTAGAGTCTCAACATCTTTTTTACATTTTGGTGACCAAAACTGGATGCAGTATTCCAAGTGTGGCCTTACCAAGGCTTTGTAAAGTGGTATTAACACTTTAGGTGATGAAGGGGAAAGTTTATTTTTCTTACTATCTTTTTTTGGTAGAGGAAATGTCTTTTTTCCCCCACACTGTCTTTTAAAAAATATATTCTTGTTAGTTTTCTTTATTAAGTTTTATCTCTTTTATATAATTCTTCATAAGATTACTGAAAAACACCAGTTTTATAAAATACTTGTGCTTTTATATATCTTTCTCTTGAAAGTGAACAAATCTCTATTGTGCACTAATTATTTTTTTTAAAAGCTTGGATTCTTCCTGTATTCTGATTGGCTATTTATCTTTTTGATCTCTCCAGTGCCACCTCTCATAACAATCTACACAGTATTGCAATTTTCGAAAACAGCAAGTGTCTTTGGCAGCTAATTTATTCATCAGACAGCATATTGGAAAAATGATCCCTTTTAAAACCCTAGAACACTCAAGTTTAATAGAATATTAAAGCAAGCCAGGATCCCACTAAATTGTGACATAAAATTAGCTTTTTTTTTCTATAATAGAAAAAGTGAGGCAATTAAATGTGGGGCCTGAATTTTTTTTAAATAATTCTTTCAGTTTAAAATAAATTTTGTAGAAAAATGTTTTATACTTGGGGAAATAGTTTTTGACATTTTGGGGAAGAGAGAAAGAACAATGGACCGTTTACAGGTCTACACAGTAGATTAATGAGTCTAATTGAGTCTGTAGGGAAATGTTTCAGTTTAACTACTGGAACTAATTTATACATTCACTACATCGTAATAAGTCAATTTAAGTTTCTGGAAATAAAACTGGATATCCTGGGTATAGATTTGAACTATAAATTTCTGCAAGAAAAGAGTCTGTGTTCATTATACATTGTAAAATTACCATATGGACCTGTCAACACTTCTTAGCACAGCTTTGTAATAATGTCATTCAGTTTAACATTGTAATGTGCCGACTGAATTAATGCATATGACAAAATGAAGGCTTCCCAAGCATTAGTTTTAAAGGAAGTTTGGAACTTATATTGATACTATATGGAAGAAAGTCTGTGTTTATAAAACCAATGTCTACTCTTCATGCATGGTTTGTGGAAAGGAGTGTAGAGTTAGTTTCCT